CTCCCAGGGACCCCTGGGCCAGTGATGCAACAGCCCCAGCCAGCCTTGCAGTTGAAATGTACAGTAGACCAGCCCATCTGCTTCCTCCAAGCACCGTCTGCCGTCTCCGTCAGGACCCAGAGCAAATGTGCAATGACACCGAAGCAACAGTCATTTTACGGCTGGGCTCCGAACTCCCAACTGGCCTGGATTGCTCAATGCTTCGTTTCAGACACAGGAGGCGGGGAGGAGGTCAAAAGCCTTTTGCCAGTGCTGCAGGAAGGGAAACGCTGCATGCGAAGATAACATCTGGGGCTGCTCGGAGCACTGTGATTTCTCCCCAAAAGCTGGTCAAGAAAACAGCCACTGTCCCTCCCTCTTGTGTTTCTCTGAGGATTTTTTCAAGTTCCCGTATTCTTTCTAACTCTTGCTGGCCCTTACAATTTAAAAAAGGTAGAAGGGAAAAAAAAAAAATTGAAGGAAGGAGTGAGTCCTACAGACCATGCTCACGATGTGTGTGTAACCCATGTGAAGCCAGAAGCCAGAGCGCTCAGTCTCCGAAGGCTGCCCCTCTTGAAAAACCAACTAAACCAGCAACCGATGTAATTTCAGATGTGCTCCAACCTTGCCCGTGTGTCAGGAAACATGGGGTGAAGCCACCCAGATGACCCATCCTCACGTTTGTAAAAGCCCTTTTCTCTCTACAGCTCCACCATGCCAAGTCCTAAACCTCCCTCAACACTCTGCCGTCACCCTGTCTCTCCTTGTCCTGCCTCCCTCCATTTCTTTATCATGTATGTCAATTATATGACTGAAAGGGAGTGGAGGACAAAAGCTAAGCTGACAATTCCCGCCTTCTCTTTGGTGCACTGGAAGGAGGGGAGAAGTCTGTGGACACTTTCACCATAATCATTCCTATTGCAAGACCTTCGTGAGCTCATTTTTAACCTCACAGAAACCCTCTGGTATCACTCTTATTTTCACCACTTTTTATAGGGAGAAGGGGCTGGAAGGAAACTAGCACTTCCTGAGCACTGTGTGCCAGCTCCTACAGCCCTTCTTCCTTGAACAGGGCCTGTCCTGTCCCCCTGAGCGCTCACCTCTGGCTTAGCCACATCCACTCACTGTTCACTCACATGAACCGATCATCACTGTGTGCCAGTGGAAAACAGACGGTCCCTGCCCTTCCATCTGCCTGGAGAGAGACAGTACATGCATTTCCTGAAGCTGCTGTAACAAATTTCTGAGTAATTGAATTGCACAACTTTCTATTATGGAGAGTCTGAATCACTCAAATGAGTAATTCCTTCCTGTTTCCCATAATTGCTTCCTTGTGGAGAAAAGGTGTCCCTGTAGCAGATGCCTGCCCTATAAATTCCTTTTATGAGGATTTTCCCAGAATCCTCAGGGCCCAGATTAGGGATGCTTGTCCAGGGATCTTCCTCTTGAGCCATCCGGACATGAGGAAGGAAAACAAAAAGCCTTGCATCCCAGAAGGATTTTGCAGAAGTTAGGCTGTAGCGGATTACAGAAAAAGCCCAGAAAGCGATTGCTGAAACACCTTCATTTCTGAAAATGTTGTTAAAATACGGAGTAAAGGCCGCTTACTTTTCTCTCTACACTGGCTTTCTAAAACCCCCAGAGATTACTGAAGCACTGTCCTCGAATTCCCTCATCTGCAAATGAAGTTGAGTAGGAAGGATTGGGCAGCCATTTGCACGAGGGTGTTGAACTCTGAGATGTGGATTACACTGAGTTTCCATATTTGACCCTGAATCTACTGGCAGTAAGTTGTTGTTGTTGTTATATGCCATCGAGTAAGAGCTTGCTTATAAACAAGATTCCTAGCCTTGTGCAGGAATTAACGTAACTCACTGCCAAGTCTCCTAAGAAAGTCGTTGATTCCCCAGCTGCCCTTTCTTGAGATGTCAGCAAGTCAGTGAGCTCAAACATTGCAGCACAATCTTGTCACAAAGCCTCCCATAACTGCCTTCCCAGTACACACATGGTCCACCATCAGTCAAGCAGAGACTTGGCCTCACTTTCCTCGTCTGTAAGCTGGGTATAAAAACGGTCACCATCTCACTGGGCTCAAACGATTATCGAAGAGAGCATCCATGCACTGCCTTGCAGACAACTGTGTTCCAGAGCGCCTCTCCGCCTGGCTTGGCTGGGGTCCATTTCCACCCACAACTGATCAATTTTGTCCTGGGTTTTCCCATGGGTGTTCCACTGGACTGGGAGCAAGCTCCATGAGCAACGCCCTGGACCACGCATGTTCCCATGGTGTCCCTAGGACCTAGCACAGTGAGTACTCAAGGAATGTCTATAAAGGAAAGGATGCCTCCATTGCACGTGGCCACGCCTCCTGGCAGCTCTCCTACAGAAGCATTCCCAGTAGCTTCCAGCACAGTGCTGATTCCTACATCTGCTATACCTCACAGCTTCTGGTCACCAGCTCACAGAAATCCAAGCAGGCCCTTGGGATTTAGTAACGGTATGTTTCCACTACCCTTCTGAACCTTTCTCCAAGAAATTTTGTATGATCCATATAAGTCCCTTTACCTTTGGGGATGTGAGAGAGAGGGGAAAAAAAAAAAACAACAAACACTTCCAAACCAGTACTGCAGGATAGTTTTTTAATTCCCCTTTTAAAGAATCTAGAATCTGGTAAAAATAATAAAATATTTAACAATGAGTTTTTTAAAAAATGGAGCACAACATCAACTTTAAAAAAAAGAGAGCATTTTATTTTAATAAAGAATAAAAGAGATCAACATATTTTTTAAATGGATACAAAAATAAATACTCTTTCAGCATATCAAAGATGTGTTTTAATATTCATCTGAGCTGGAGACTAAGTCCTACTGTTATCTTACAAACACTTCAAAAAAGAAATCTGTCATCCTTAAAATTGTAATGCTTGCTTTGTTTTGGCCAATGGTGAGAAGTCATTTTTACTGGCATTTTCTACACTCAAATGTGAACTCATACACATCTAAAGAACGTGTAATTATTGCTTCCTACTACGTGGTCGCTATGAGTTGGATCCAACTCAACAGCAGTGAGTTTATTTATTTATTTATTTTCCTATAAGAGAAGCAAAGGGAAAGGTAAGCAGGAATTCGTTGGATTTTCAGGCTGTGAATCAAAGTCTCCATTGACAGTTACGTGGCCACCAGGCTGGCTCATCTGGAGCTAGTCCTGTCCCCAAACCCCAACACCTTCTCTCACTTCTCAGAATAAGGGCTGCTGTGAGATTCTCTGCATAAGGAATGGTGGTGACCCAGGCTGGGTTATAAAGGAGAAAGAATCAAGAAAACACTTCTCCTCACACAGGTGACTGGAAAGGAAGCAAATGGGAGGCCCCAGACGCCCCCCAAGTCTGCTCGGTGTCTATACAGAGTATGGAACTGACCCAGCCAAGTCAACAAACTGCACTGGCTCATACACTGGCAAGAAGTGGGGCTCCTGGGGGCACTCAGCACACATCGGGCACCCAACCTCTGCCCATCAGGGTATCACACGGACATGCACACAAACAATGGGCTAACACACATGGGCTAACAAAGTGCAACACCTGTTTAGAAGAAAAAGCCAAGCACTTTCTAATCACATATATACTGAAGGTGACTTTAAAGTGGCCTTGGAGTGGAAAATCATGAACTACATTAGACCACATACGGACAATGAGGGGATGGGAACTGCCTTGGCCATTAAGTCTTCTTCACCTGGCTTTTAGTCAGTATCATGAATTTGTGTGAAAATGTGACACATTTTTGGGTGAGAAATGCACTCCATCTGTTAGTAATAAGGACAAGTTCCTCCAGGGAGGAAACTGGGACTTCTCCATGGGGACCCTACCACACCTCCATTCATCAGAAGAACAGAATTGGGCATAGACTGGGGCCATCTTGAACCTCGAGGACGACTAGGGATTGGCGAACTAAAGGGTCTTTACTGGGAGGCATTCTTCCCACTGCAGTCCACCGCAGATCCTCAGGGCCAGCTCCATGGTGAGAAACTAACGCATTGCCCAGACTTCCCAATCCACATGAGCCGCGCCCACACGCTAATCACTATCAGCAGATGAATGGGTTGACCAAATTGCAGGCATAATCAAATGCTCGTGGGACCCACAATGAATTTTTAAATTTGTGGTTTATATCCTGCCTACTTAAAAAAAAAAAAAATATTCAAAACAGTTTACAATAGCACAATTGAAAGTTAAAATATTTAAAAATCAGATCACAGTCATTTAGAAGTAGAAGAATCAGTGGTCTCTGGGGTCATTTAATTACAGAAATGAAACAATACGGCTCCAAGCTTCCTGGCAACAAAGTCACAAAGGAGACATTCCACGGTCTGAAGGTGAGAACACAGCTCACCTGGAGACGGCCGTGTTCTCCTAAAACCAAACCCAGAGAATGCACACCCTTCCGATCCCTTCTGATAAGCCAAGGGTTTCACTTTCACTTATTACACAGAGGTTGGAATCTACACATTCTTAAATCTTATTAAAATGGTTAAAAATAAAGAGAAAAAAAACAAAACATTTCACATAGTATCAGGCACATGAAATCATCAATCTATAGCTTTAACTAAAGATTAAAAAAAAAAAAAACAGCCTTGCTCCTCACAAGTCGATCTTACACTCCAAATTTCTCTACTTGAAGTCGCTCTTTGCTGCTAATATTGAAGGTCAAGGTTCGGAAATGTCAGGTGTCCCAACATGCACAAGGAGCTATAGCAACTAATGGTAACTGGGGGAGAAATGCAGAGACAGGTTTGACCACAGGTTACAGGGACAGCATCCACCCACTTGGTCTAAGTTGCCAGTGTTTGTGAGCGGCAGAGCTGGGATGCGCCTGTACTTCAACTTCGGCTCCTCAGAGAACGCCCTTACTAAACTAAGAGCAGAAGAAGCCGCCCTCAGGTGAAGGAGGCATCTGCAGCCTGGAGTAATTCAACAGTAATTGTGATAAGGACACTGGGGACGGGGGACGGGGTGCCCAAGAGACCTAGACGGTGATCTGCTGGTTTTCTCTGAAAAATGGTCTCTGATGTGAGGCACAGATGTCTGGAAACATCCGGAAGAGCTGGTCCGGCGGGGGCTCCTCGGGAACCTGCATCACGGAGCCTGCCCCACAGCTCTTCCCCGCTTCCTCCACCAGCTGCCGGACGCAGAGCTGCTCGATCTAGAGGGACCGTGCACAAGGTCAGACGGCAGCAGGAAGGGAGGGCCTTTCCCTGACTCCCCCACTGCAGAGCTACCATTGCAGGACCTCCACGTGAGCCCTAAGTAAGCGAGGCCAGCTCAGGAACGACATGAAGGGCAGCACGAACAGTCTCTGCCAAGACCCCTCTGCATCTCACTCTCACTCTCTCTCTCTCTCACACACACACACACACACACACACACATATCTCAACCTGGCCGACCAGTAAGGACATGCAAAGACTAACCTATCACTCAGAACGCAAGGCAACTGAACTGGTGGAATCTTTCCAGGAAGGACATTTTTATATAAAAAACAAACAAACAAAGATCAAAGAGCAAAAAAAAAAAAACAAAACCAAAAACCTATGACCATCCCAGAATGAGCTGCCTCAGAGGTGGCGGCCTTGCCCAGCCTCCCTCTGCACTCAGGGGAGGAGCCCAGGCCTGCGCCCCTCCTTCAGCCTCATGGGAGGGCAGGGGGTCCAGACACAGGCCGCCAAGCTGCCCGTTCTTACCTGCACGAGGATGAGTTTGGAGCGCAGAGGGGCCGTGTCGGGGAACTCTTCACCAAAGCACAGCACCACCCTGCTGTCGGGGAGTCGACCCTGGCTGTTGTAGAAGTGCTGCAACTCTGCGGAGACACGCCACGGGGTTTGCACGTGGCCGGGGCTGCGGGGCACAGGGCGCACGGGGTGGTAGGGGGCCAGTGTGTGCAGCTGGGATGCTCCCTCTGCTCAAGAGGAGCCTCGGCCAGGGGAAGGCCACTTAGGCCAGACCAAAACAGGGCCTCAAACTGCCGGCCCTTGGGGCTGTCTGGCCATCTGCAGGCCATTGTAGTGCCTGCTGGACTTGACTGAGCACCTTCAGTGGGGCACAGCCTCTCGGTTCTGCACTCCCCACAGCCTCACACGCACACGCTGTCCGTGTGATATCTGCCTGGCCCCAGGAGGCACCTGAGTTTGCAGCCCCGATAAGAGGAAACCCAGGGAGGGCTGCTGTCCCTGCCTGAGCCCTCTGACACCCAATGCCCCAGTTCTCAAAGTGGGGTTCCCAGACTCATTGGGAACTTATTAGAAATGCAAACTCCCAGGCCCCACCGTCAAGCCACAGTCAGAGACTCTGGGGGAAGGCCTGGCACTCTGTGCTGCAGCCTACCCTCCGGAATCGTGTCACACTGCCGCACACTCAGGGGTGACAGCACCTGGCCTCACTAGCCTCTTCACTAGGTAGGTTTCTCAGAGCTTTCCCCTGAGCCCACTCCCTCCCTGCCACCCTTCCATGACCCCGTTCTCCAGCAAGCCTGCAGGAGTGCTCAGGCTGGGTGGCAGGACAACATGAGACTGACTCCTGCTCCTATTGTTACAAGGAGGGGAGCAGAGCTTTAGGGACACAGAGAGGAGGGCCAGCACACAGCACTGGGAGGGCAGGCTGATTGATTCTGGGCATCTTAACCTTCGAGGATGGGCTCATGTGGGTGGGATCCTAGACACCCCATCACAGAACGAGAGCCACGAACACACACACTGACTGTGCGGGCGTCATCAAGACCGGTCTGTGTCAGGACACGGATGAAGTCGACGTGTCACACGAGGAGCTGGCAAGCTCAGGGACCTGGCTGAGATGCAGACTTTGATCCCGTAGATCCCCATGGGTTTGGGTGGGCTGAGTCTGAATGTCTAACCTGCTCCTGGGGTGATGCCCACCCACCAAGCACACTCAGAGCAGCTTAATCCTCATGACAGCATGACGAGAAGGGGGCGTGTCAGCACCTCTGTTTCACACAGCAGGCCGTCAAGACCCAGAGGCGACCCACACCCAGGTGGGCTAGGCCCAGGGCCACCCTCCCCTCCAGGAAGGAGTGACCAGGGGCCTCCAGGATCCGGCAGAGGGAGGAGGCTGGTCCCTGCAGTTTAGGCAGTGAGAGTACAGACCTCGGAAGAACTGGCTGGTGTCGAAGACCTTGACCACCTCGTCACGCTCCAGCTTGTTGGGCCTGTCCTTACAGGTCACGGCGTTACCGCTGCAGAACACGCGGCCCTGGCACAGACGCTTGACCAGCACGCCCTGGCGGCTGCTGTGCAGCAGGACACCCCGCTCCAGGTGCCCAAACAGCTTCCGTGTCACCTGCCGCTGCCGCTCACTGGGGATGGCATCAGCCGGCGGGAAGCGGACGAGCTCCAAGCCCTCGGGCCCATATAGCTTGGTACCAGGCAGGCCTGGCTGGCTCAGGGAGAGGCGGCAGCCCTCAGGGCAGCTGGTCGTAGTCTGGCCCACCAGTTTGCCACCGTAGTAGAAGCTGATCACCATCTGGGAGAAGGCTGCAGGGCAAGGGGATGGCAGGTGAGGAGGCTGGGGAAGATGGGGGGCTTCGGAGTCCCTGGTGACGGTTCACACGCTCAGCTACTAACCCTAAGTTGAGCTTGAGGGCCCCCACAGGCTCCTGGGAAGGCAGGCCTGGTGATCTACTTCTGAACATCAGTCATTAAAACTCTACGGACTGCAGACCTACCCTGACACACACGACAGTGCTGGGAGGCGCCAGTCCATCTGACGGCAGCTGGCTACTTGCTGGCTGGTGAAACCTCAGTTTGACGGATGGAGATAAGCTTAAGGTGAGGGCACCCTCCCAAAGGGTGTGTGTTAATCGCCCTAGCCTGAAAGGATGACTGACAATGAGCAGGGTGGGCTTGGAGGACCCTGAAGTGCCCAGACCAGTCCAGGGCTGCCCCTGAGGCCGCCCAGCTCCACAGCACCCCTAGAGCTTCCCTCATGCATTATATGACGTGGTCCTTGTGCAGTGAACAACCAGGACCCCCAACCACACAGGGATGTGTGCATGTGTGTCCATGTGTGTGCATGGCCTGAACAGCTTCCCAGAACGCCACAGGGTACACTGTGCATGAGGCGGTGCTAACCATTGCTTCACCAGCAGTTTGCTGAGGAGAACTCTGGAATAACTCGAGGAGACTTCCTAAGCCTGGTCCTCACCTCTCACTCAGAGCCCACAGAAAGCACCGGTCAGCAGACTCCAGGGTCACAGCCTAGCACTGAGCAAGTCAGAGATCCGGTCCCATGACTGAAGAGTGAGCTCTGCATTCCCCACCCCGGGGCACGGGCCTCTGGTGCCATGGGGGCATCAGTGCAAGGCCTCGTCCATAAGCCATGTGACCTTGTTCCACGAGCCAAGTGACCTTGGATGAGTGATTAAACCTTAAGGCTCAGTCTCCTCATCTGTAACACAGGATCAGTCCCAGCTCCTGGGGCCGCTGGGAAATGGCTGTGCACACTGAGTTCAGTCAGCGGCGGCTTGCCACATGCCTGGCAAATGGTGGTGCGGCTTTCCTTCTACTCCTCCTACCTCGTGAGCACCCGACTCCACCACCAGAAAAACGCCCTCCCCACCACGTCTGGGCCCCGTTCTCTCCTCCGCACAGGAGGCTGCAAACCGAGGCCTGGGCTCCATGGTGCCTCCTGATGAGTCAGGCTGTCGACATCACACGGGGCCCAGCAGATGCTGGGAACACCGAGGGCACATCAACAAGCCCTGCATGTAAAGCCCAGCAGCCTGGCAGCAGCTCCCCCAACTCTGCAGACGCCTGGGATCAGGACACACACAGAGGCTACCACTGCCTGCAGGGGCCAAGAGCATGAACGGACAGGCAAGGGCCCACCCTAGCTCCCAACATCTAAGCTGTGTGACCTGGGCTGTTTCTGAGCCTGTGAAATGGACATGATGGCAGTGCCTGCCTTGAAGGGTCTGACTGAGGCCATAAAAACACTAAGCATTCAGCCTGGCGTGCAGATAGCATTCAACGGAAGTCAACTACCATATAATGACTGTCAGTGTCATCCTCCTTACCACGACCATCATCACCACCACCATCACTGCTATCACGGCCACCATCATCATCACCACCACCATTACCATCACCACCACCACCACCATCATCACTACAATCACCACCATCACCATCATCACCACCACCACCATCATCACCACCACCATCATCATCACTACAATCACCACCATCACCATCATCATCACCACCACCACCACCACCATCATCATCATCACTACAATCACCACCAACACCATCATCATCACCACCACCATCATCACCACCACCATCATCATCACTACAATCACCACCATCACCACCACCACCA